ATTGGAAATGAGCAAATTAGTTTAAGTTGCTATTATTCCAAAATTAGAGAACGAAACCTGATGGTTTTCTTTTATTATTTGTCACAATATCTTGTGGAATTCTTTCGAGTATCTCGCCTATATAAACTGTATCGTTTATTATAGTGTTGTAGGGTATTCAACGGTCGGCCCCGCTCGACTGTAGCCTTTGCTTACTTGTTTTTTTTTGCAATTTGTCATGTTTTTTCAAACACCCAAACACTTCTTGTCAAAACACACAAAGCAACAAAAAATATCGAGTGTGACAAAAAATACCTAAAACCCTAAATTACCAAGGAAACATAGAATGATAACAGATGCCTTTGCAGGACGGAAAATACCATAATATGAGATAACCAAAGGAATGGAAGGAAAGAAAAACAAGGCGAGTCTAGGAGACTGGCAATTCATTCCTTTTGGAGAAACATGCAGTTGGAAACTAGATTTTTTTTCGTAGTCTGCTACCATCTCCTCCTTGTCTTCCTTTGTGACATATCAAAATCTATATTGTGTGTTATGTCCTCTTTGGTTTTTTTCCTTTATCTGTCCGCCTCGATTTTTCTAAATTCCTATGGACAGTTATTTTGCATAGTTTTTTTAGTTTTCTACTTCTTCTTCTTCGTCTCGGATGTAGGCGTATGTTTAATTTTGCATTAGGATGTTGAAAATGAGCCTCTGTGTATCCTTTTTGTTTGAATGGGTAACATATGTCGTTTTTTGTTCCATATTTGTACTTGTATAGGTGTCATGCAAGCGTGTAGTTTAAAGTAGAGGGTGAAGCAGATTTTCGAGGGTCCAATGACAAATTTAGTACTACTAGTCAATGAAGATTTATTATTTTAGATGTATACTTTTGAGGAATTCTTTTTTCAAGGTTTTGAGATTTTTTAAAGTATTTTTAAAGGATATTTTTGAAGCTATTTGAGAGCTGATAAGCTGGATGATCAAGAAAAAAATAGAAGCAGGAGAGGGATTTTATGAATATTTTTTAAGATGAGCTAGGCGGAGTTTTTTTTATAGACTTTTAGGAACTATTGACTTTCGAAAAAATATTATAAATGCCTTGAATATGAAAAACGACTCCCTGGAGTCTGGAAAAAATTGATTTTTAAAGATTATTTTTTCAAGGACCAAACGTGGATTTTTAAAGAATATTTTTTCAAGGATCAAACGAAGATTTTTAAAGAATATTTTTTCAAGGACCAAACGTAGATTTTTGAAGAATATTTTTCAAAGACCAAACGAAGATTTTTAAAGAATAGTTTTTCAAGGACGTGGATTTTTAAAGAACATTTTTTCAAGAACCAAACGTAGATTTTTAAAGAATATTTTTTCAAGGACCAATCGTAGGTTTTTAAGGACTATTTTTTTAAGGACCAAAAGTAGATTTTTCAAAAACGTGGTTTTTTTTTAAAGAATATTTTTTCAGGGACCATCAAAGCTTTAAACGTGGATTTTTTTTAAAGAATATTTTTTCAAGGACCATCAAAGCTTTAAACGTGGATTTTTTTTTAAAGAATATTTTTTCAAGGACCATCAAAGCTTTAAACGTGGATTTTTTTAAAGAATATTTTTTCAAGGACCATCAAAGCTTTAAACGTGGATTTTTTTTAAAGAATATTTTTTCAAGGACCATCAAAGCTTTAAACGTGGATTTTTTTTAAGAATATTTTTTCAAGGACCATCAAAGCTTTAAACGTGGATTTTTTTTAAAGAATATTTTTTCAAGGACCATCAAAGCTTTAAACGTGGATTTTTTTAAAGAATATTTTTTCAAGGACCATCGAAGCTTTAAACGTGGATTTTTTTTAAGAATATTTTTTCAAGGACCAAATGTAGATTTTTAAAGAATATTTTTTCAAGGACCATCAAAGCTTTAAACGTGGATTTTTTTAAAGAATATTTTTTCAAGGACCATCGAAGCTTTAAACGTGGAGTTTTTTTAAGAATATTTTTTCAGGGACCAAATGTAGATTTTTAAAGAATATTTTTTCAGGGACCATCAAAGCTTTAAACGTGGATTTTTTTAAAGAATATGTTTTCAAGGACTTGAAAACTCCACGATTATTGGTCTGTAGAATAATCGTGGAGTTTTCAAGAATATTTTTTCCAAGGACCTTCTGAGACTCTAACGAGGATTTTTAAAACATATTTTTTCAAGGACCTTCTAAGACCTTTACTTTAATTTTTAAAGAATATTTTTTCCAAGGATCTACTGACCAATAAACGTGGATTTTTAAAGAATATTTTTGCAAGGACATTCTGAGACTCTTACGTGGATTTTTAAAGAATATTTTTTCAAGGACCAACTGAGGAATAATCGAAAATGTTTATTTCATAGCATCTTATGGATTTCAGGTGCGCTGATTTTTTTTCAAAAATATATATTTTTTTGATTTTTAAAGGTTTGATATTATAAAAAAATCTTTTTGGCTAGGGCTTGAATGATTTTTTTTATTTTACATAGAATTTACGGAGCTTTGGAAAATTAAAGAAAAAAATTTTGACAGAATTTTAAAGGCCGCGTATTTTTAAAAATATTTTGTCATCGATTTCTTCAAAACATTTTCCGAGAATATCAGGGATTGTACATTTTTAAAAAAATGTCCGCCCGTCCGCCAGTCGGGCTGGTGCGCGCGATAACTTTCAAAGGGAGTATTCGATTTGGTATGAATTTGGTACATTGTAATATTATTATCAAGACTAGTTCTAGTACAGAGATGGGCAACGTAGGTCTACTCTTTCTGGTACCTCCCCCACAAAAGGTAAACATTTTCACAGAAAATAAATTATCGAATAGAAAATATCATTCAGGTATATGCAAGCTTCCAAAATCCTAATATTTTTATTAGTGATAGGACAGGTGTTAAATTAGATAATATCGACCCACTCCATTAAGTACCTCCCCCATAAAGGGTCAAACCTTGAATAATTACATCTCTTATAAAATGTAACAAAATGTCTTCAAACTCCCCACACCTCAAAATGTATTTTTATTTACACAAAATCTCTTGTTAAGATGGGATATATCGCTACTTCTGGAAAATTAACCTTTCATTAAATGCGAAATAAGCATCTGATACATTTTAAATTCGGTACACCCATATTTCTACCACAACAAGATCTGGTGTAAAGATTGTAGATATCGGTCCACTCTTTCTGGTACCTACTCACAAAGGGATTAAAATTTTGAATAAGCCAAGTGATCATAAAATGCGAAATAAGCACTTGATTCTTTCTAAACTTCGCACATTCCAATATTTTTGCCAACGCAAGATCTTGTTTGAAGACGATAGATATCGACTCACACCTTCTGGGGCCTCACCCGCAAGGGATCAAAGTTTTGAATAATTATATCTCTCACTAACCTGCATTTCATGTTTTATACTCAAAATACACAATTTATTCAGTTAGACGATTTTTTTTTTATTAAAACTTTATACATCGTACTAAATTTTCAGACTTCCAACAGTGACATCCATATCAAATTTCAGGATTCCAGTCTATCCCTTCACGCAATATAAAATTTAGTACCACTTAGTATTTTTCGAAAAATTATAGTAAACATTTCCAATACCTCCTCCATTTCATAATCACCTTCAAATCTCAATTCCAAATAACAACAGAGACCCCAATCTCAAATTTGAGGATATCAGCTCTATTCCTTCATCCAATACCAAATTTAGTACATTTGAGTTATTTTCGTACAATTATAGTGCGCATTTTCGAAACAAACTCCACATTTCAATGCCAGATACCAACAGACACCTCAAATTCCTTCCCAACCTTAATTCTCAAATGCAAGTTCTTAGCTCCATCCTCCCATCCTTTCACGTAATACCAATTGGTACGATTTAAGAAGTTTAGTACCATTTTAGAACTTTTACCTTAAAGTTTGAATTTCCAAAAACCCATTGGGACATCTATCGTTCACTCCATTAGTGACTCTCATTCTAAATTTAAGAATTCTAGCTCCTTCCGTTTGTCCAATACAAAGTATTCAATTTTTAGTATATTTTAGTACTTTTTGTACCCTTTTAGTACGAATTTCCATTTTTTCAGATATTCTCTTTTATTGTACAAACCCCTCGTTGCATTTTGTTCCTCTGCCATGACATTTATTGAATGTGTGACTCTCGAATCTCTGTTCTGAGTCATCATCAACGGCATGGTTCGTGTTTTCAGTTGCCAACGGCACTACTGTCATTGTCAGCAGTGTGACACAATCTCCGCCCTTCCCCTTCCTAACCATTCATTCCCACACTCAGGCGAATATTGATTCTCAACCCTCCCGATACTGCCGTTTTGTTTTTTTCTCCGTTCAGTTGGCAGCAGCTGTTAACTGTTGCTAATTGATGTGATTTTAATTGAGGTTGCAATTTGCAATTTGTCTCGAATATTGACATTATTGACATATTTGACATAACGTTGTTGTCGTTTACATTGTCTTCGTGTTGTTGGCAGGATGAAAGAGAAATCTTTTTGCAGTCAGTGGATGCTATGGGTAAATTCTGTGGTCCGTTTTAAAGTCTTATCCTCTTTTTTTCTTCTTTGAGATAACCTCTCTAAGCTCCCAGATTCTTTTGTTTCATGGCATTATTATTCTTTCGTTTTTTAATTTTAGATTCTATTCTTTAGATTTGTCCTTTTCCTTATTCCTTTGATGAACTTTAGTTGGCCGGAGGGTTTTTTTCGTAAAAGAATAATTTGTCCTTTTTCATGGTTTCCTTGACAAATACCACAAAAGGCGATTTATGCTCAGACATCTTAGTTTTGTGTGGTGGTCGGCAAATTTAAAATTAATGACCATAAATTGATATTTAATGCAAGTTAATGAAATGAACTGAAAGACAGGCAGCAGATCCCCCAAAAACTTTTGGGTACCGCAACGAAAAAATGTAAATTTATTCCATAATCCCTCATTTCAAGGCCTCAAGGAATATGACTTTTGAACTTTTAAGTTTCCACTCAACATCACTCACCTGCATCAATACTGGCAACTATTCCACACAGCAATGCTACTCCTGCCAGCCAGCTCCATGTGTGACCAAATTGCTGCTCCCTCTCCAGGCGCCTTCTCTTGAAGCTGCGTCGTTTTTGTGTTGCATTCATTTTTTGAAGATTTCCACTGACCAGCGTTGGACAATTGAGTGGTGTTACGCCCATTTTGTTATCTTTGTGTGGAAAATATTTAAGATTTTGATGGATTTTTAAAACTGAAATTGAAAATAAAATGAAAATAAAAAAATTGAATAAAACTTCAAAATATTTTGAAAACAATGTCATGGTATTGCAGAATTGCCATAATAAAACAATCATTCTCCATTTCTGTAGGAGAGTGAATTTTCGAAAAAAAAAAACATATCTTAACCCACAAAGATAAAAAAAACCGTTAAATGGCCATCATTAATGTACCTTTTTGGGTCGCATTAAAGACACCTTTTCCTAAACTGTTATTACAGTACTTAAATACATTTATAAATACATTTTTAAATTTTAAATTTTAATTGGGTAATAAAAGAGGAAGCTAACACGAAATGAAACGAATGGTAAATGTTAACAGTTGCACACTGATAACAGATCCTACTCTGTTAGCAGGTGCCAAATTGTTAACAGTTATAACACTGTTAAGAGTTGCCAGAATGTTAACAGCAGCTTGACTGTTGACAGATCCTGACTGTTAACAGATGCTATGCTGTTAACAGCTGCCAGACAGTTAACAGATGCTAGGCTGTTAACAGTTGCTAGACTGTTAACAGTTGCTAGACTGTTAACAGTTGCTAGACTGTTAACAACTGATAGACTCTTAACAGTTGCCAGACTGTTAACATTTGCCAGACTGTTAACAGCTGCCAGACTGTTAACAACTACCAGACTGTTAACAACTACCAGACTTTTAACAGTTGCTAGACTGTTAACAGTTGCCAGACTGTTAACAGTTGCTAGACTGTTAACAGTTGCTACACTGTTAACAGTTGCTACACTGTTAACAGTTGCTACACTGTTAACAGTTGCTACACTGCTAACAGTTGCTACACTGTTAGCAGTTGCTACACTGTTAACAGTTGCTAGACTGTTAACAGTTGCTAGACTGTTAACAGTTGCTACACTGTTAACAGTTACTAGACTGTTAGCATCTGCCAGACTGTTAACAGTTGCTAGACTGATAACAGTTGCTAGACCGTTAACAGTTGCTAGACTGTTAACAGTTGCTATACTGTTAACAGTTGCTAGACTGTTAACAGTTGCTAGACTGTTAACAGTTGCTAGACTGTTAACAGTTGCTAGACTGTTAACAGTTGCTAGACTGTTAACAGTTGCTAGACTGTTAACAGTTGCTAGACTGTTAACAGTTGCTAGATTGTTAACAGTTGCTAGACTGTTAACAGTTGCTAGACTGTTAACAGTTGCTAGACTGTGAACAGTTGCTAGACTGTGAACAGTTGCTAGACTGTGAACAGTTGCTGGCCTCTTAACAGATGCCAGACTGTTAACAGTTGCTAGACTGTTAACAGTTGCTAGACTATTGACAGGTGCTAGACTGTTAACAGTTGCTAGACTGTTAATAGATGCTAGACTGCTAACAGTTGCTACACTGTTAACAGTTGCCAGACTTTTAACAGTTGCTACACTGTTAACAGTTGCTAGACTGTTAACAGTTGTCCGACTGTTAACAATTGTCCGACTGTTAACAGTTGTAACGCTGTTAACAGGTGCCAGAATGTTAACAGATGCTAGACTGTTAGTAGGTGCCAGACTGTTGACAGCTGCTAGACTGTTAACAGATGCTAGACTGTTAACAGTTGCTACACTGTTAACAGTTGCTGGATTGTTAATAGATGCTAGACAGTTAACAGTTGCCAGACTGTTAACAGTTGCTACACTGTTAAAAGTTGCCAGACTGTTAACAGTTGCTAAACTGTTAACAGTTGCCAGACAGTTGTTACTCTGTTAACGGTTGCTAGACTGTTAACAGTTGCTACACTGTTAACAGTTGCCAGACTGTTAACAGATGCTAGACTGTTAACAGTTGCCAGACTATTAACAGCTGCCAGACTGTTAACAGTTGCCAGACTATTAACAGCTGCCAGACTGTTAACAGTTGCTAGACTGTTAACAGCTGCCAGACTGTTAACAGTTGCTAGACTGTTAACAGTTGCTAGACTGTTAACAGTTGCTACACTCTTAACAGTTGCTAGACTGTTAACAGTTGCTATACTGTTAACAGTTGCTATACTGTAAACAGTTGCTAGACTGTTAACAGTTGCTAAACTGTTAACAGTTGCCAGACTGTTAACAGTTGCTAAACTGTTAACAGTTGCCAGACTGTTAACAGTTGCTAAACTGTTAACAGTTGCCAGACTGTTAAAAGTTGGCAGACTTTTAACAGTTGCTACTCTGTTTACAGTTGCTAGACTTTTAACAGTTGTCAGGCTGTTAACAGTTGCTAGACTGTTAACAGTTGATACTGCTGTTTACAGTATCCGTACTGTTAACAATATCCGCACTGCTAACAGTATCCGTACTGTTAACCAGCCAGTAGCCTTGATTTTAACATTATTCATAATATTAACATTATTCATGATGTTAACGCTTTTTACCCTTCACAGCCAACTTTTTATATTCCTTTTTCCCCCATTCCGAACCCCACTCCGAAATCACTGTTCCACCCGCTCTCCATTTAAATATTAACTTGCTGTAATTTTTGTTAACACTTTAAAGATATAATTAAATCATCTTCATTTAAAATATCACTTTATCACCCTTTACAGTTAACAGTGGCGAAATGCCGCAGGCAAATTTAAACAGACACACAAACACGCACACACACAAATAGAGACATACCCTCATAACATTCGGCTGACTGGCTGGTTGGCTGACACCCAACATTAAAGACTCATTTAAAGTTTGAATGAATTTTGGTTCAGTTAGGCACTGTGACCAAAGAGTCCAGTTGTTAGACACTCTCTCTTTCCCACTCTCCTTATCTCTTTGCCTGTCTAACGTTTGCTTCCATTACAAACCATGTTGAGTTCATTATGGTTACCCCACCATTTGGACAACAGCAGCAGCAACAACATTCAGCTGGGAGATGAGTTGATGTTTCCACCACTTGATGTGGCCTAGTGGGGCCACACAGAAGCAAAAGAAACAACAAAAATGAAATACCCCATTCATAGCCGGTGTGAGAGTCCAATAGACAGACAGACGAATAAAAATTCCCGCCGCTTTTAAACGTCGAAAATGTATAACAACCTGCCAACATGGTCATTAACAGCAGCATTGGCTCGTTCGCTGAAACATTAATGGGTGGCCTCTGTCCCCACCCGCTTTCTCCTAATGCTCCACACAGTCCGGCAAGCAAAACAAGAAATGCGGGTGTTTTTTTTTCCTGTTGCCATTGTCAATTAATGTTTATCAAAATCAACTAAAATTTACAACTATTTACCATGGGATTTTTGTGTGTGTGTGGGGGGGGGGGGAGTTGGGGGATGTGTGTGTGTTTTTAATATTAGATAGGTGTTGATCATCGAATTTTATGCAGGCTACGAGGTAGTGATCCCCATTGGTGGGACCAGTATGGAGGAACTTAACCTTGAAATTTGGCATATGAGTCGAATTTGTATACCATTAGCCATACAGCAATCATTTAATGCAGCCAAAACGTACCTCATCGTATAACGTAACGATTTTAGACCCTACGTCTCTTTGGATTATATCCATTTCAGGACAATTTCAGTCAGAATTCTGCAATTTTAAATATGAGTCATTGTTAATGTAAGGCATTAGATACTGTTGCTTTTTTGTCCGAATTTTGTCTGAATGGGTACTAAAATGTACTAAATGCTTTAGTATAAAATTCTGAAATATGGAATAAGGACGATTGGGTTATATTAGCGGGACAAATTTATTTTATTATTCAAAGTATGTCTAATAATCTTTCCACTTTCATTTTCGTAGAACTGGATAATGTTTTTTAATACCCTCTACCAAAGTATGGAAGGTATATAAAGTTTGCCATTCCGTTTGTAACTCCTCGAAATTCTTGATCTGCATAAAATTCTTTGTCGATTTAGCTATGTCCGTCCGTTTATCCGCCTGTGGAAATAACTCTAGCTTCCAAACGAAATGAGGGTAGGTTGATAAAATTTTACTCAAATATGTATTATGTCTGCAGGACTTTCGGTATTGAAAATGGGCCATGTAGGTCAACGTTTTGGTATAGCCCCCATATAACGGTACCTCCCGATATTCCGCATTTTGATGATTTTAACGACATTATTTACCGGAATTGTTTCATATTTGGTATTTGAAGTTCGAAATGGATACTACAGCCTACGACAGAAAATTGCCTAAGCAGGTCCAGATCTTCGTATAGCCCCCATATAACGGTACCCCCCGATATTCGGTATTTTGATGATTCTAGCTACATTATTCATCGGAATTGTTTCAAATTTGGCATTTGAAGTTCGTAATGGATACTACAGCCAACGACAGAAAATTTTCTGTGCAGGTCCACAACTTCGTATAGCCCCCCTATAACGGTATCTCCCGATATTCGGTATTTAGATGATTTTTGCGACATTATTCACCGGAATTGTTTCAAATTACGTATTTAGAGTTCGTTATGGGAACTACAGTCTGTGACAGAAAAATTGTCTGTGCGGGTCCAGGTCTTCGTATAGGCCCCATACATCAGTACCTCCCTATATTCGGTATTTTGACGATTTTAGGTACAATACCCACTGAAGTTGTTTGAGATGTGGTATTTGAAGTTCGTAATAGATACTACAGCCTGTGACAGAAAATTGTCTATGCTGGTCTAGGTCTTCGCACAGCTCCAATTTAACGGCACCTCCTTATATCCGATATTTTGATGATTTTAGCTACATTATTCGCCGTTTATTTCAAGTTTCGAATTTGCTTAATGCCTATGCCTATGTATGTCCACGTCGTATAGACCCCAATATAACGGCTATATTCGGCATTTTTAAAATTTTAACAGAACTTTTTAAGGATTTTATTTTTTAAAAATTTCCAAATTCGTTGAAAATGGTGGAGGGTATTAAAAGTTCGGCCCGGTCGCTGCTTTTTTGTATTAATGTTTTTGAGGGAGATTTTTCTTCTTGGCCTTCCTTTCGGGAATTGTTTAGCGCCGTTTACATTAATAACTCTCGATTGAGTGATGTTGAACGTATGTTCTATTTGCTAAACA